TCTCTCCATCAGCCACAGGAGCCTTTCATGTTCCTTGGAGTCCATGCTCTGTTCTGGCCCATACAGGCAGTTTCCTTTGCATGGAACAGTTTTCCCCATCCCCCTCTTTGCCTTCCCTACTTTTTCTTTAGAGAAGCCTTCCTGACTTTTCAGCCTAGAACTGAGCCCTTTTTACATGGCTTGTGCTGCCTGTACGTCTCCTATGCAGCATTTACCAGGATTTCCAACAGTCAGTAATTGCTCTTAGTGCCAAAGCTGCTGCCTCACAAGACTGCAAGCTCCAGCTGAGCAGGGGCTGAGTGTGCCTTGCTCTCCATGGGACCCCGAGCACCCCCACACAGCACATCTTAGAGCCCGTGGATATGCTGTAATTATTTGGGGGCAGCAATGAGCAGATGACTGGGGAGGATTCAGCTGTTACTCTCAGGGGCCCAGGGACCCACAGGACACACCAGCTCCCTCCCTTCCATCCCTTTCTTGTGAGTCTTGTCCTTTGATTCCAGTTTTCTGCAATCTGTCCCTCTGAAGTTGATCCATCTCAGTGGCAGGAGAATTGAGCACAAACATCTTTCAGTTCCTGGTGTTGAAAACAAACCATCCTGCATTGAATTGATCCTGGAGAGATTTCTCCAGGGTCCTTTCAGAAACCAGACACTCATTAGGACCCAGGAGATGCCAAAAATACCTTCCAATGGGCTCAGAAAGCAGATTTTTCTTTTTGAGGGTTTAGGTGTTTGGGGAATTTCAAATACTAATCTGCTTTAACAAATGGCAGTGTATTTAAAAATAAACCCTTCCATCTGTTTTAGTCATTTGGAAGCAGCTTTTACAACTGCTTCCAGCAGTCCTTGGGATGCATGTGAAATTATTTGGAATTGAGAGAACTAAAATACTTCAATATATTAAATGTGTTCTTTATCAACAGATGTTTGGGGAAATGAATATGAGTTGGCAGTTTATTCTAGGATAAAATCTTAAGTCTCTCTGCAAATCTTGGGGCCAGAACTGTTGAAACATTGGTCAAGGGAAAGCCTGTGATGACAATGAATAACCTGTATTCATTCAGCACATCTGAGACCGCAGCACTTTCAGTGTCTTATCTTACCAACTCCTTGACTGATTGGCATGGGGACTTTATTTTATTTTTCAATCTAGAGATAAGAAATCTGAGGTTCAGAGAGATTTAGTGACCTACCAAAGAACACACAGCAAGGAAGAAGCTGTGTTAAGGACTAGAACCTAAAGCCAAGTCCTGTGTTTCCCCACTCTATGATGCTGCCTCTCCAGGAATTTGGGACTCTCCTGGGGTCTCAAGGTGTAAGATAAAGAGCCGAAGCCTAAGATCAGATAGGCCTGCATGAAGATCCCAGTCTTGGAGAAAACACTTCACCTTATATTCTTCACCTATCAAATGAAATCAGTGTGATGAATTCTGTTTCCCAAGGTCTCGAGATATTGTCAGGACTGATGGTTTGCAAAGTGTCCTGCACAACATAGGAACTCAAGAAATCAAGCTCCTTCTTCCCTCTTCCCTTGCCAAGGGAAGGCAACTCCAGATAGAAGTATGTCCTAGGGTATTTCACCCATTCTGGGGCTGGGTTGGAGGATGAAGGATGACTTGTTGCAAACATGCATCCTGTGGCTCTGTCCCTGCAGTCTTAAGACAGGGAAGTCATGTCCTCTGTGGTATGATTCACGGACCCAGAAAACATTTCCCTTGCTGTTCTATGACAGCGCCCCAAGTGTGCATTCCTCAGGGTGAACTCCTGGCCTCAGGAATCAGCCTCGAGCTAAATTTTCTGGTCTTGTTTTTTACTCCATTCCTGCATGAATCCTGCATGAATCCTACACTCCAGGCTCACTAACTATCACCCCTTTGAGGAAATGCTGTGCCTTCCTCCAGGCCTTTTTGTCTCTGTTCTGTGTTCAGCATATCTAGTGTCCACCTGGAAAGTTCCTGCTGTCCTTCAGGACTCAGCTGGAGTGAAGCCTCCAAGCCTTTCCTCGTCTCTTGAAATAGAAGGAAAGAATCTCACCTTAGTGAAAACACTTATATGTAGCAATTCTTAGGAACTGTGCCTTATTTTACATGCTTGTTATTTTTCTAACATCTCTCATCCCAATTCTACTATGACTAGGTGCTTGAAAACTTATATGAGTTTCATGCTTTTGGTGTTTCCTTAAAACTTAGCACAGCACTTGGTTCAGAGACAGTGCTGAGTTCCACTAAAGTGATGAGAGAGATGGTGGTTTGGGCTCAGAACACTGTTCTCTATTGTTTTTGCAGTATATCTCATAGTATGAGCATGCTATGCTTGTCTATTCAGAATTCACCAAGATATTCATGAGTTTTGATGCTTCTGTATATATTTTAGAATAAGTTTATTGAGGTTTTATTCTAATATTTTTGCTGGGAGTTTGAGTGACATAGACTTGGTCATTAATTTCAGAAAAAAAAAAATCTACATTGTAAGGATGTTAAGCCTTGCATTCACGAATCAGGTAAACACTGTAACCGTGAACGTAGTATTTTTGCCTTGTTAGGTCTTTCATGCAGTTTTGAACATTTTTTAATAAAAGTTTTGTGAAATCATTGTGAGGTAAGTTCCCACACATACCGTCATCTGGTTGGTATTGTTGATGCTGTCTTCTTTTCTATTGTATTTTCCAGGTTGAAAATACTAGTGTTAGGAAATAAGTGGATTCAGCAATTTGCTGAGCTGTTTTGTCACATCTAATGCTTTGCCTGTCGGTTTCTTTGGGTTTTCTATGAAGTTTCCTCATTATTCTGCAAATAATAGCAGGTTTATTTCTATACCTATTGAAGCAAAATGCTCAGTTGATATAAGAAGGAGACCCAGTACTAAAGCAGTTTAGTGGATAAATAAGTTCCCTTTTTTTTTTTTTCCTTTCTCTCTCTCTCATAACATCTGCCAAGGTGGGCAGTCCAGGTGTCTCTGGATCACTCAGGGCTCTGGTTTCTTCTGGATATTTCTCTACTATTTCTTAAGGCCTTCCTCATCTGCAAGGTTGAGTTTAGGCTGCCAGGGGTTCCAGATAGTAGGGAAGGGATGGAGAGGAAGGAGGACCACACCTGCCATCTTAGGGCTTTGCTGGCAAGGGGCACAATCCCTCTTCAGGTATGGTTACAAGCAGAACTGCATTTGATTTGCTTTTGTTCTTCATCACCTTTCTTGATCATGCTTGTTCATATTTTTATCACATTAGTCTACTTAAACAATATTTTGCTTTTTAAAATCTCTATGGCTGTGTTTTCAGAAGTCTATTTCACTGATGTCTTATGTTATCTTCTACCTTCTTCTCATTTCTTTGGCTATCTATTGTCCCTTTAGCTTCTTAAGTTGAAAGTTAAACTCATTGCTTTCATTCTTTGTTTCCTGATCAATTTATTTCAAGCAATAATTTACCTTTGACTATTTTATCAGCTACAGTCATGAAATTTTGAGAAGTAGCAATCTGTCATTTATTTATAATGTTTTATTTGTTGCATTATTTTCTTCTTAACCCAAGGATTTTTTTTAGACTTTAGATCCCTAGAATTTTTAAATTTTTATTCATCACTTTGGTATTTGATTTCCAATTTTATTACTTTATTATCGTAGAGCATGAGTTGGAAGATGCTGACTCTGAAATTCATTAGTACTTTCTCTGTGACCTAATACATTATCCATTTGTTGGCAGAAAAGTTATATAGTGTTATCAAAATCTATCTACCTATTTATGTATTTACTTATCTTTGCTTACTGAATTAGTTTCTGCGATTTGTATGTTAAAATCTCCAAGTAAAATTATGGATTTATCTATTTGTCCCTGTTGCAGTTGCTTAATATATTCTGAAACTATATCATCCCATTAACATAGGTTGCAATCATTTTTTTCTTCTTAATATGTTGTTCCTTTTGCACATCTCTATTTGCCATTATGTAATTTATTTTCACCTTAAGTCCATTTTGTCTCAAAAATGGGACCACAGGTTTTCCTTTCATTCATTTTTGCATTAAAAATTTTTGCATTAAAATTTTAATTTTGCATTAAAATTTTTTGCCCATTTATTTTCAAACTTTGTGTGTCAATAGACAATGCTGGAATTTTAAAAATGTGTCCTCCACACAGCATGATCTTTCAGACATATCAGTGAAATGATCTTATCCCAACTTGGATCCTTTCAGTGGCTCCTCATGTCTCCTAGAACTGACCCTATGCCACCCCCTACCCTCTAGGGCCCTGCAGGACCTTCCTGATACCTCCTACTCACATTCCGTGCTTCCCTAGCTCCCTCAGTCTGGCCACCCTGCCTTCTTTTAGCTCCTTCAGCATGCAGTCTTGCTCCTCCTGCCTGCAGGAATTGCCCCATTATTCCTGCGGACTCCATATACTTCCTAGATCTTTACATGGCTGTTTGCTGCTCACCTTTCAGGCCTCAGCCCAAACATTGCCTCTGCTTGGAGGCCTTTCCTAAGCCTGGACCTGAAGGATGCCCTGCCTGCCAGGTGACTGCTTGGAGCCTGCCCTCACCATCATTACCAAGCATCTTGTTTATTTATGATGTCAAACTCCATGATATCAGAGACCTCATCTGGTTTTCATTGCTACAGCCCCAGTCCCTGAGCAGTGTCTATTTAGTAGGTGTCCAGAAATATCTGCAGAAAGAAATTCTTGGAAGAATGAATAGCACAGCTATCACAAGTAATGTGCAGAAAATCTAGGCGAGACGTTTTTATAACAATCGTTCAGAATTTGGTCTTTCCTTCAATCCCTTAGACCCATCTTCAAGTTTCATGAGACACCCCCCAGAGTCATACACTCTGGTTTTTCTTAAGGCCACACCTAAAGAAGATGCTGAGCTGCTAACTGGCACCAGGTTTCTCTGGGTGATCTTTGCTCCTCTCTCTCTAGTTGTACATTTATTTGAGAATTTGAAACCCTCAGAGCTTCTGAATGAAGCACCCATCCCCCTCAACCCAGAAACTCTCCCTATGTGCTAAAGGTTAAATATTTATTAGGTTTATTTTAATCAGGAATAAATACATGATTTAGCAAAGTGTAATGCTTCCCATTTAGAAATCCCTTTGGGTGCTCCCCAAACATTCCAATCACATTCTTCACAACAGAAAACAATACATAAGAACATAAGATGCTGTGCAGACATCTGGAGTTCAGGGGGTCACCTGCCTTATGTGGGAAGTCAATATCCACAGTGTTACATTCATTTCTCATACGTTGGCTGGTTCCTTTGAAATAGCCTTTTGGAATTGTTGGGGAAACCACAGATGTCTCCTTGTATAAACACACTGGAATCTATGATACAGAAAGTCGTGTAACTGCACATATACATACCACTAGCACGATGAGCTCAGATGGACGGAATGCTTATGTGAGCAGACAGACAGGGAGAGGTACTGCAAGCATGTTCCCCTCCTTCCCCAGAATCCCTTTGAAACCGGGAAACATGAGTCATAGATTCATCTGCAGCCCACTCTTTTCCTAGCAGGATTTGGATGGCAGCTTCTCCTTCTCTGGCTATACATTGTGTTTTCTCCCTTGTCTCTTAAAATTATGTGTGACATCATTAATCCACTTGAACTCCCCATCTTTCCTGGAGTTCAGCATTTTTCCTCATATGGATGCCAGACCCTTCTTAGAATAAAGTACTGGGTGAGTTAATTCTTTAGACTGCATCCATTTCTTAAAAAAAAAAAAAAAAATCCAGCTATTCTTACCTACCCGATCCAGCCAGCCCTTCCACTCTGAAGAGCAGCTGGAAAATGAGCTCCTGAGTGTCTCTCACCTGTCTCCAATTCCATCCTAAGCCATGAGCTGATTTCTCTTTTTACACATTTGTTTATACACTTTTTTTCCCTGTCTACACTGTGAACACCTCTGTTGGGGGTTGGGACTTATGCATCTTTTTTTTTTTTTTTTTTTTGGCTTGCCTGACACCTTACACAGGACTTAATGCAATGCCTATTCAGGCAATAAATGAATAGTTGATGCATTCATACAGACAAGAATCCCAGCATCTCAGAGAAGCTCTGTCTGCGCTGCAAAGCCATGACTGCAGACATCAGGGAAGCTGGTGCAGTTCTAGGCTCGTCCCCTTGATTTCCCTGCCAGCAGCCTTCCTCTCATTCTTCTGGCCCTCTGCAGAATCAGGGGGGCCATCTGACTTCCACCCACATGGCTTTGGTGCGGGAGCAGGCCAAAGGTATCTCCCATTTGAAGGCTGAGAAGTCCTTTGGGCTAATGTTTAGTGTCACGAAGTTCCTTTAAAAAGAGAGGAAATCATACCAGAGGTCCCTATGGATTGGTTAAAGTAGTTCCATTCAGGGCACCCATCTGCAAACCCAGACCTTCTGCCAGGCCACAGCTTTTGTTTCCTCTCCCTCTCAGGCTTGCCCATGCAGAAGTTCTCTCCAATGACCTCAGAGTACTATCTGGACAGGTGCAGTTCCTTGGAGAACAGTCCTGGTGCACTTTCTTGTGCGAGTGGCTTTGTCCTTCCCACACACACAATGTGTGCATACATACATGCTGGGCTTTTCCAAGCATCGCCTGACATGTCATGATCCAATGTTTCGTGATGCCACAGCCCTGATCAGACACCGGGGGGGGGCGGTTCCTTTGGTCACGATGTGGATAGAGAAGATGTGAATTTGAGTCTCCGTGTGGCTTCTCTTGGCTTTTAAAATATGTGAGGTTCCCGGGGATCAGGGAACCTTGCTTTTTGCAAGATCCCAGGCAATAGTTGGAACTTCTGTTCCTTTTGGGCATGAACCATTGTGTCTGTTCTTGGCTAGTCCTCAAAGTAAGGTGGTGATGAGAAGAATGAGCTCTTTCTCTTGCTGCCACTGTACATCAGGGAGACACTTTTCTTCTTTCGATCAAAGGAGGTGTTGTCCTCACTGGTCAGGGACAGGTAAGAGGCTATGCTCTCTCGAAGGCCATAGCTGAAAAGGGATTCGTCTACCCCAATTGGGTTCTCTGTTCCCTCAGGGTTCTCATGCAGTCTGTTGGTCAGAAGAAAAGGGGGCAGAGAAAGGGAAAAAAGAGAGTCACAGAGAGAGGAGGGGATAAAGGGCAAGAAAATGAGAACAGCAGGAAAAGAAAAACAAAAATCCTGGTGACTATTTCTCTAACTTATTATAATTTTTATTTATTTATTTTAAGATAGAGTCTCACTCTGTTGCCCAGGCTGGAATGCAGTGGTGCAATCTCTGCTCACTGCAACCTCCGCCTCCCTGTCTCAAGTGATTCTCCCGCCTCAGCCTCCTGAGTAGCTGGGATTACAAGCATCCACCACCACACCCAGCTACTTTTTTGTATTTTGAGTAGAGACAGGGTTTCACCATGTTGGCCAGGCTGGGCTCACACTCCTGACTTCAGGTGATCTGCCCAGTTTGGCTTCCCAAAGTGCTGGGGTTACAGGCATGAGACACCGTGCCTGGCCCTAACTTATTCTAATTATTACCCTTACCTATTATTCTAACTACTCTAACTGCAATTATTCTAACCCATTATTTTAATTCTGGTTCTTACATTTGTGGGCCATGTGATCTTGCACAAATCACTTAACCCATCTGAACCGCTCTTTTCTTGGATGGCTGATACTTCCAACTGTAAATTTTAGTAAAAATTAACTTTTGTTATTTACAAGAAAGAGTAGTTTTCTTCCTGTCTCGCATACTTTTGATCTCTGATTTTCTTTGATTTGCCAGTGGGATGTCTGGATTGATACTGAATTATTAAGATAACCCACAAATCCCGAACTACAGATATCCTTTAAAATTCACAGGCTGACAATGGAATAAACAGAACAAATCCATGAAATTTTTTTTTCTCTTAGAAAAAACAAAGAAGTCACTATAGGATTCTGCTGATGTGTTTAAGCTTTGTGAGTAGATTTTAAATAATATTAAATTTACACAGGATGTGTTAGTTTCTAGTATCCTAACAATCAGAAAAAGAAAAGTGGTGTATTTCAGCTAGAATGTATACTGCTAGCATAGAATAAGGACTCAGTAAATGTTTGCAGAAACATGGGGAGCTGCCACACACATCGTGAGGCCTGAGGCTGCCCCCGCACCCAGGGATTCCCTTGGTCTACACTTGTGTGGGATGCTTACCCTCTAGTCTCAGCAGGGCTAGATGACCCTGGCCATGGTTTTCATGTACTAGGCACACATACTGTTTTGTGCTCACATGTTCACGGAGCACTTGCATGCACGCACACACACACACACACACACACACACACACACCCCATACTCACCTGGACATTCTCCTCCAGTCCACGGTCTTCTGACGCAAGGTGACAGGTGAGTTGGAGGCCCTCACTGCTGGGGCAGCCGTACTTTGTGTCAGGCAGGGTGTGGTGAGCACACAGCACAGGCCATCAGCCACCTCTGAGGAGGAAGCAGACAGCCGGTCAGGGACCCTGGATATGCCTCAGCCAGTGTGGGGTTTGGGCCTGAGACACCCACCAGTGCAGCTCCCTGGCTGTTGCCATGGGGAACTGGACCTGAGATTTCAAAGGGGCATGGTAGGTAGTGGCAGTGCTGAAAGCCATGTGCCCAACTGTTTGAGAAATGTAAGTGTGCCCTGGTATCCTCTGCACTTAGCCAGACATGGGCAGAGAGAGAGGTTTAAGATCCAGTATCAACCAAGCTTGAGTTTGAATTTTAGCTTTACCCCAATAGTAAATTACCAAGAACTTCTCTGAGCTTTCCTTTCCTCAACTGCAGAATGAAAGAAATGAGGGAACAAGTGAGTGCCTGCAGAGGCCGCAGACTTCCAGGGTTTCCCACGAAGACCCAATCCATTGACCTCACAGGGTGTGAGAATGGGGCTGCGTACAATACTGATCCCCACAATTGTGCATTTAGAATGGCACAGGTGGACTAAATACACCTCTAGGAGGAAAGATAAAAGAAACAATGAAAGAAGGAAGGAAAGGAGGGAGGGAGCAGAGGAGGAATGAAAGAGGGCGAGGAGGAAAAGCAAAGGTGAGAGGGAGAAGGAGGAAGAGGAGGAGGTGAAAATAGCACAAAAAGTAGAAGACACAGGAAGGGAGGGAAGAGAAAACAAAGATAAAGAGGGCAAAGAGAGAATGCAGACAAAGAAAGAATGAAAATAATCTCTCTTTCACTCTAGAGGCTCATGCACAAAAAGAATAAAAATTAAATAAACCTGTTTCTTTTTTCCCTTGTATGAAAATCTCTGTGTAAAACGTCTGACTCTCAGGGTCCCCCGTCTTTCCAGGTACATTACAAGGTAGCTTCTTTCTCTTGGAAGGCTTCTCCCTAGACTTGATTCTGCTGTACTCAGCCATCTTAGAGATTGAGGAAATTCTGTGTAGTCTTGTTCAGGCTGAAAACCCCAGTGCTTCTGTGCCCCGGGGGGAGATGATGTGGCCAAGGGGGTGAGGTGCCACTGGCCTCCAGCAGGACTAAGCCACCCCTGGCCTCAGAGCCAATCCACCACCAGGTTTTAGAAAGCACATCACCCCTCTGACAGGCCCCACTTCCCATCTGATTTATGGAGTGCTCTCTGGGGCGTCCTTGCCAAAGTACAAAAGGAATTTGTAGCGGAAGAAGCACACGCAGCCTGTCACAGGGCAGGCAGGCCAGGAAGACCCTGTTACATGGTTTTCAGTCTGACTTCAACTGTGAACTCCAATGTCCACCCACACAGGTGCCCTTGGAGAAATGGGAGGTGAGACCATGAATTTAGGGGGAGATTTAATTGGATGGAAATCTAAAATAATGACCTGTCATGGGTTGGAAATGGAAACGACCTCCCAGGTTATGAGGCAAGGAAGATGAAGCCAGATGCAGAGGCTGGAGAGATCAGCTGCAGTGTGCAGCACAGGCAGGGGACACTCCATGAGTGTCCTTCCTTAGACAGGTTAATACTCAGCGTGAAAAATACATTTTGACAAAGAGCAAAAGGACCACCACTCATAAGCACGTAATATGAGCCCAGCACTGAGCTAGCCTCAACCCCTGGATCTCATTGAGGCCTTGATCAACTTGTGTGGTCAGTATTGTTTTTTATTTTATTTTATTTTATTTTATTTTATTTTATTTATTTATTTTTTTACAGACGGAGTCTTGCTCTGTCGCCAGGCTGGAGTGCAATGGCACAATCTTGGCTCATTGCAACCTCCGCCTCCCATATTCAAGTGATTCTCCTGCCTCAGCCTCCCAAGTAGCTGGGATTACAGGCACATGCCACCATGCCTGGCTAACTTTTTGTATTTTTAGTAGAGACGGGGTTTCACCACATTGACCAGGATGGTTTCAATCTCCTGACCTCGTGATCCACCCACCTCGGCCTCCCAAAGTGCTGAGATTACAGGTGTGAGCCACCACACGCGGCCATCAGTGTTTTTATACCCATTTTGGGGAGGGAAAAACTGAGCATCCCAAGGTGAAGTAACTTACTCAGGGCCATAGAAATGTGACCAAAATCAATCTTATTGACTCATTGTAAAAGCAACTCATTGCCTCTTAAATAGAGAAGAAAGACATCCTCCAGCTGTCCCTTGGGTTCAGACACGCTGGTCTATTTCACCCATGTCTACATGGCTCCTCAGAATGCACATTCCTCTGCACCTTTAGGGTCCAACACCTCTATATTCAAGGGTTCCTAGACCCTTAAGGTCCCTAGCCCTTGATTTTCCCAGCCATATTTTAGAATTCATTTATGCCCCACGCACTCTGTTCTCCCAGTAACCACCGTGCATGGTATACTTTAGGTGCCACATTTTTCACATGCATCTTTTTTTTTTTTCAATTGGACTAGCAGCAATCCTGTGAAGATTACTGCATTTTAATCCCCATGTTGCAAATGAAAAAACTGAACCTCCAAGATGCCAAGTAATTTGCCTAAAGGCATCATGATAAAAATTATAAGCAACCTGTTGTTAGATGTCTATTCAAACCCCTGGTGCACAATTCCTCTCATTCTGTGTCTTTTTTTTTTTTTTCCTGTGAGACAGAGTCTTGCTCTGTTGCCCAGACTGGAGTGCAGTGGCGCAATCTTGGCTCACTGCAACCTCTGCCTCCCGGGTTCAAGCGATTTTCCTGCCTCAGCCTTCCGAATAGTTGGGATTACAAGTGCCTGCAACCACACGTGGCTAATTTTTGTATTTTTAGTAGAGACGGGGTTTCACCATGTTGGTCAGACTAGCCTCAAACTCCTGACCTCGGGCGATCCGCCCACCTCAGCCTCCCAAAGTCCTGGAATTACAGGCGTGAGCCACCGTGCCCAGCCCATGTCTTTAGAATGAATCCAGTGGAGATAAAAGTGGCCATGTGGCTTCCACTTGGGGATTCTCAATGGGGCATAGGAAGCACTTCAGGTTTTTACACCTTTTCCGTTATTCACAGAGGTGAACAGATGACTGTAATCCATTGAGTGGTTCGATGACCAGGAACATACCGTGGGAAGACACCAGTGCTGCACTGGGGTGAGATATCCCCCATGGTCAAGCAGCGGCAGGTAGATTTGGGTAGCCTGGTAGCCTCATGGCCTCATGGTGCCTAGAAGCTTTGCTAGGACAGCATCCTTCTCATGTTTGCTTTTGTCTATGCAAAACTTATGGTCTTCACACCCCCTCCGATGGTTGTTATTAAAAGCCAAATACCACAACCAACCTTTTCTTACAACCAATATAAGTTGGCTGTTTCCAGGACTCCCTTCCTCTTTCGGTTTTACCTGGCTGCTCAGTTTTCAGATATCACAAGTAATATGTGTTATTTATTTTGCATCTGCTCTTTGGTAGGCTATGCTGAACACGCTACATGAACGATCGTGTTTAATATTTATTCAGTCACCTGCTAGGAGACTGTATTCACTCAGCTCCCATAAATGGGGACCCCAGGTTCTGAGGGGTGGCTGACTTTGCCCAAGGCCTCACAAGGTGCAGATCTGAGCTTGGACCTCCCTCTCCTGAGCAGCCATTTCTTCTTCATGCCCTGCTGCTTCTCATGGGCCAGCTGTGATAACCAAAGTCCTGTGGACCTGTTTCTACTTGAAATGCACTTTGCTTGCTCAGTTCAAGACCACATATACAAGAGAATGCCAACAAAGTTGCCCTAAGCATGTGAGGTCAAGCATCCTGAACCCAGAAGGGGGAAGATGTTGTCAAAGCAAAAGCAACCTCTTCCTTTCCTCCATGCAATATGCGAGTAAGTGGGAAGGACACTGATGTTCCGCTGGGTAAAAGTGGCTGGTATTTAATGGGAGCTCGTGGTTATGAGCCAGGCACCCTCCCCACTTTCCATGAACTGACTCTGTGGACCCTCATGGTGTCCTTGGGAGGGGGAACTATTCGTGTCTGCCTGGCACAGATGAAGAAAGTGAGACACAAACAGCCAGCCTCAGGCTGCCCAGCTAACACTGAGTGGATCTGGGATAGAAACAGAGCTTCCAGAGCTGGTTTTTGGAAATTTAGCATTTAGTCAACTGTTCACAATTTCTCCCTTTTCTGTAGGGTAAAGTTCTGACTCCTGAGCTGATGTTTGGGCCTTTCACAGTGTAATTCAACTTTCTCTCTGTGGCAGTATCCTACACTCTTCCAGCCACCACCACCACGTGATGCTTCCTTTATCTCAGTGGATGCTCCCCATCTTATCAGCCTGGGAGAATTCAGACCTCTCTCCTGGGTCTGTGACGGGCACAAAAATGAGTTAAATGTAATTCCTAGTCTTTAGGAGCCTGTTGAGGAACACAGCCTAGCACACAATTAACCAGGCCACGCGGGAGCATGATTGGAATGCTGGGAAAGAAATCCTTGGCATGCTCTGAGCACAGCGAAGACAGGCAGCCACTGCTAACTCCTACAGCTTCATTGCAGAGGTGATTCATGTTGGCCTTGCAGACCAATGAGGATTTTGACAAGCAGAAAAGGGAGAATGAGTGGTACTCTAGAACAGAGCTCCAGAGGCTTGAATATGTATGGCCCACTTAAGGATGTGCAAGCTGGTTGCAGTTGTGAATCTAGGCACACCCTAACTTGTTTAATGCACAGGTCAAGAGAGGGCAAATTTGAGATTAGCTGCATTTTGCTTATTAAGGCAGCATGTGCAAGCAATCTGTTTCAGTCTGAAATTTACAGTCTGAATTAACAAGAGAGCATATCACGAAGGCAGCATGGGCAGAAAGCAAGAGTAAATCACTGCATTTATTGGCGACCCCTCTGCATTCCAGACAGATAGTGCCACAGAGCAATTAGCTAAGAGGGGTTCCGCCATCACAGTCGCTCCAGATTGAATGTCTCTTACCAGAATAGTGGTTCACCAGGTCCTCCAGGCACTGGAAGGTGAGCCTCGGGGAAATGTAGTACCAGTTGTTGGGCAGGCGGAAAATGCGGTAATGCTTTACCTGCCTGTGTCTCACCGACAGTGAGTAAAACCCTGCAGGAGGTGGAGGAAAAGTCAGTGGATTCCACCTGTCCTCACCCCAAGGCACACAGCTAACCAGCCCACCACCACTGAGGCAGGGATACCTGCCCACCCTTGGGATACAACAGTGATGCTAGGACGCAGCCCTTCCCTCCACTAGACCCTTCTCTGTTTAGATGTTGCTTCCTGTTAGAGACTGCAGGAGTGTATTATTGTGTCAAAGCAGATGTGTTCATCATATGGTCCTTACAGGTTTTTAGGAGCACAGGTTTCATCCTCTTGGCTTTTTTTTTTTTTTTTTTTTTTGTGTCTGGGTCTTGCTCTGTCACCCAGACTGGAGTGCAGTGGCGCGATCTTAGCTCACTGCAACCTCCATCTCCTGGGCTCAAGGGATCCTCCCACCTCAGCCTCTGGAGTAGCTGGGACTACAGGCATGCGCCACTATGCCCGGCTAATTTTTGTATTTTTTTGTAGAGATGGGGTTTTGCTCCATTGCCCAGGCTGGTCTTGAACTCCTGGACTCAAGTAATCCACCCACCTTGGCCTCCCAAAGTGCTGGGATTACAGGCCTGAGCTACCGTGCCTGGCCTCGTCCTCTTTGCGTTTTGAGGCAAACACATTGGGGTGCTTCCACATCCGAAGGCCAAACGGAATGATTGTAGTGTGGTTGCAACCTGGAGCTCCAGGGTCCGTGGTGGTTTTTGACTCCTTCCCGAGTACACTCCAAGATGTCATCCCTACTGTTTTTCAGCCCCTGTCCCACCAGTGCTGCCACAGCACACATTTGAATAGGTCCTTGCAGTTATGCCCCCTCTTTCTTTGTCTGTACTCTCTCTGACTTATGCTTAGTCTTCTCAGAAATTTGGAGCAGTTGAGTCATCTTTCTGGGTATCCATAAGAACCACGTGAAAGGCGGGTTATTGCTCTTTGAGCCTCATTAGAGCAATGACCTGGTATGGGTTGGTAAGAGCAGAACCGCGGGCATGTGCCTCAATTTCCCCAGGTGCAAAATGAGAGAATTGGATGTAGGCCATGTTTCAGGGTCCTCTCTTACTCTATCTTCTAGGGTTCCAGGAGTAGAAAACACCCAAGAGACAGAGGAGAAAAGGAGCTGATTGATTCTTTGCTATCTCTGCTGGGCAGGGCTAAGCAATGGCCAAGAAATCTCTGTTAATTCTCAGAAAGATCATAGGAGGTATTGCCCCCAATTATTTTAAAGATGGGAAAACAGAGGCCTAGAGCCCCTATGAGATATGGCCAGAGGCATAGGGGGGAATGCCTCCCCTGGGGTGTGAACCTTATCCTCAGCACATCCCTCACAGTGCTCCAGGCCTGCCATGAGTCAACCCAGCGTGAGCCTTCCCGTAAGGTCAGCGGAACTGGGAGTGTGGTAAGCAGACCGAGGGTAGCAAGTAAAACATTGTCAGAGCTTTGCATACCCACGGTGGGCCTGCCACACCCACCCAGCTCCAGCACAACGGCACATCTGCCTGATGACATCTTTATTTTTAGATGAGCTGCGGCACCCACCCTGGGTTCTTCCTCCGTTTGGCCAGGCCAGTTTAGAAGTTTCTTTCTGAGTCGGGCCATCCTGCCTCCGGAGACCTCTAGGACAGGCACAGGATGTTTTGCTTTTGCATTGATCTTTCTGTCCCCCAGCATGTTTGGTTTTTTGAGAGAAAAGTTGATCTTGGATTTTTTTTAATCATGTATATGGGGTCCCTGCATTCTGAAAGCAAGGCTGGTGCCCATTTTGGTGAAGGACTCTAGCACCAGGTGGCTTTGGCACTTATTAGGTGCGTGGAAAGTACTCTCAGATAGTGTGTTTTCTCTTATTTGATACTGAATGTACAAGAAGCAAGCCAGGAACTTGAAGATACCTTCTGAATTTTAAAAAAGCTATTATTATTATTTAGTCTGGGAAAATCCTAGCTGTGAAGTATTTGGGAATAAACACGGTACTCTCCTACTGTGAATCTCATGATCTAGATCAGGGGGCCAAGGCTTAGAGAGAGAAGTGGTAACTTAGTAATTTGTAAGGCTAAAATTGGAACTTGGGACCCTTGCTTTGAATCGTGACAAAGAGCTCACTCTATTTATGTTTTTACTGAGGTACTTAATGCATATGATGCAAGGAAATTGTAATGCTAGAGAGGAGGGTGACTGTGTGTGAGAACACATCTGATTCTCTGAGCTGTCTGACTTAGTTACAGAGCACAGAAGAAACTGACATCGGGACTCTCTGTGCAGCAAGAGCAACACAAACATTATTACATTTGAATTTCACTACAACCTTACAAGGGAGGGGTGTTCTCTCCATTTCACAGATGAGAACACTGAGTTCAGACAAATCAGTCACAGAGCTTGACAGCACAGACCAGGCTTGTACCAAAGGCTATGTTCTATCTGCCCAGCATCTGCCTACACACTGCATTCAGTTTTGTTCTCGGTTGCTGGAAAAATTTCCAGCAGGAGCCATCAGGCCTGATGTTGGCCAGGCCCGTGACCGTGCCCAGCCGGCTCCCCACTGCCTGTCTCTAGTCTCCTTGCTTCTCCACTGGCCTCCCCAGCAGCGTGTGGGCTGCAGGGAGCTTAACTACATCGGATCGATTTGCATGGACGTAGGAGGAAGGAAAATGAAGCCGTATAATGAGTCAGCCGGGAACAAAACATGCTTGTCTGCCCCAGACGGGGAAAGATGAGTTGGGGGCCACTCACCTTTCTTGGTCTCACTCTCCCTGATCATGAAGGAGCCGACCTTTGTGTCTGGCAGCTGCAGCAGCTCCTCGGCCTTGTCTCTGCCCAGACCCTCAAACAGCCAGCTGGAAAGGAGGAAGACAGCCGTTAGGATCTGGAACAAGCCCTCCCCCAGGAAAGGCGGGAATGGGCCTCCCACCATACTAAGCACTTGAAAGCTAATCCTCATCTCCACCCACTAAGACAGGTAGCATTATCTCTCTTTCACAGACAAGAATACTAAGGGTTCCAGTGATTAAGTAATTTGCTCAAGATACCATGTCAGCAGTTGATAGAGTTAAAATTAGAATGCATTTTTCTGGGACATCCAATTCCATAACCACCATACTTCACTGCTGCTCTTCCTTTTATTTGTGTGTGTGTGTGTGTGTTTTTTTTAATGGAGTCCTGCTCTGTCACCCAGGCTAGAGAACAGTGGCATGATCTTGGCTCACTGCATCCTCCACCTTCCAGGTTCAAGTGATTCTTCTGCCTCAGCCTCCCAAGTAGCTGGGATTACAGGCATGCACCACCACATCCGGCTGTTTTTTGTATTTTTATTAGAAATGGGGATTCACCATGTTGGCTGGGCTAGTCTTGAACTCTTGACCTCAAAGCCATCTACCCGCCTCAGACTTCCAAAGTGCTGGGATTATAGGCGTGAGCCACCGTGCCCAGCCCTGCTCTTCCTATTTGATATGTTAAGGGATGTGATCACCTCTATTAGATTGGTAGCCTCATAGGGTCATAATTATGTCACTCCTCCTGGGTCTTCACTACCCCCAGCTCCCACCAGCTGCAGCCCCATATCTTCAGCATGAAGGCGTTGATGGGTGCTTGCTAATGAATGAACAGCTCCAGGGCGAGCAACTGATGTAGAAGAGTCATGTGATTCCCATCTCTTTCAGAACGTGACTCGCATGGCAGCTCCTGCTCCACTTTTGTTCACCTTCATCATCCTAAGCATGGAAATGGCATCTGGTATTCACAGTTTTAAGATCATGAATACTAAAATTAAACTCGCAGAATTCTAGTCGTCAAAAGATTCTGGTGGTTATCTCTGTTTTGCAAGATGAGCATGTGGCACGTAGAGTCCTCCTCTGGACGTGAAGAAGTAACTTAGTGTTTATCAATGGATGCCTCCTTTCTTTTCCATTTCCAATATGCTGTGCATTTCTTTGCCAACTTCTGGCCTCGGTAACTTGACAGATGAGGATAACGTAACTCCAGGAGGTGAAGCGACTTTTCCAAGACCCTCACATGGAAGGAGGGAAGCGAAGATTTGTGCCCAGGTGTGCAGGACTCCAAAGCCACCCAGGAGGCTGCAGAGGCCTCACAGGCACGACTACAGGAGAAAGCAGGGTGCTTATTTTCTCATCAGTTGAGCCTAGTTTTCTAAGATTTATCTTGTTCATCTTACCCATTTTTCAAGGAAGGCACATAAGCATTTTTGGCAGTAAGGATTCTGTGTGCTTCTGGATAGGTATTTGATTAGAATATAGCTAATATTTATCGAGTGCTTACTGTCATGCTTGGCATTGCTCCAAGAACTATACATGTATCATTATATCTTATTCTCCTAACAGCCCTACATTTTGATCATATTGTCATATATTATTATCCCTGTCGTTCTATGTTATGATCTCTACTTGACAGGTGAGGAAAGGGAACTGATGCATAAAAAGCTTGTTCACTGGCACACAGCCAGTAAGTGACAGAGGCAGGATTTGAACCTAGACACACTGACTTCTAGTCTCTGCACTGTGCTGTGCCCTCCGATAACATTTCCCAGCTGTTTACCACTCTGTGCCAGGAACACCATGTTAGAGCTGAAAGGTCCAACTTCCTTCATTTTACTGAGGGAGAAGTTGAGTCCCAGAGAGCAGAAGAGATAAATTAGCTCAATGCTCCTTTCCTTATTGACTGGGTTGGGAGCAGGAATATCTCTTCTTGACCCAGTGCCTTCCTTTCCACTATGAATGCTGGAAACTTTGTTCCACCTTATGAGTCAGCAGCATAAGCATCATGCTTAATTGATGCCATTTGAGAAACGTACTCACCCATGGTAAACTCTGGCCACACATATTCCAGGGATGTAACTCTCTCGACCAGTGCTAAGAGAAATAGCTTTCCACCAGCCCCCTTCACTGTGAGAACAAGAACAGAGAACACAGAGATAGGTAAATAGCAAAACCAAAGGATGAATGAACAGAGTAACCAGATTTAACCCAGGAAAGGTTGGAACATTCCTCTTTTAAGATCTGTCACTGGCCACGTTAACCCAAATTCCGTCATCTGAAAATCTACCTTTTAAAGTATATGTGCCCAGTGGATAGCCCTCCATTGCAAGCCAACTGGGAAACCCTCCCGTGTGCTCGAAATAGCTGCTTTTCAGGGTTTAGCAGTTAATGTTCCCAACTGTTGGAGGCTTTTTAAAAATAAATCTTTACTATATTGATTTATACTCTGCAGTATAACCAAATATAGTTTCAATTATCTGCATCAATGAAGATCGAAATAAAAGGGGCTCAGAACTCCTGTCATGTTCTATAGCCCATATTGAATCAGACTGCAGAGGTGGAAGGCAAATCTTTTATATTTCTCATCCAAAGGATTTCCAGACCCCAGGGCTGCCTTCCCAGTCTTCATTCCTACATAGCATCAACACTGCACATGTGGTGGGAGATGAGAAGAATATGATAAGAGGTTGGATCATAAAGGATCTCAAAAGTCAAGTTAAGGAATTTAAATTTGATCTACCAGGCAGTGGAGAGCTATGGAAGGTTCTAGAGCACTGGCCACATTAAAGAGGAGGGTTGCAGTATGGGTCAAATTTCTCACCTCGTAATGGGACCAGGACTCATGTGGACCTACACCACTCTAGCTAAAAATCAAATACTTTTCACCCAAACCAAGTTTATCCTGTTTTGAAGATTGCACAAGTTTTGGAGAGCTGACTCACTCAGAAATCACACGCAGTTTCTCCCCTCGGCGGAATATCGGGGGACTGATGTCAGGAGATGGGTAGTCACTCAGCACGGCAAGGAAGTCGCTATCAAGTCCTGGGGAAACAAAGGCAAGGGGGAAGGGGGTAGGTTGCTTTTTATTCACAAGGAGCTTAAAGGTAACCTTGGGAGGGAGGGCATGAAGATGAGATTTTCCAGCAGGAGATACCTTTCTTGTTTTGAACCACCAATTTACAGCAAGGTCCTCTCTTCAGAGATGGCTCTGCAGGGTGTGCGTACGAGCCCTGAGGATCAGTGACATACTCCTATTCTTAAGCCTTCCTTGGCCCTGATGTTCCCATCTGAGAAATGGAATCCAGAGGCTGTGAGATGAGTCACAGGGGCTGGCTTCAGGCCCTGTTCTGAGTCTACTAGCCTCACTCTCTCCGTCTTTAAAATGGGACTAATAATACCTCATTCCAGGGTCCTTAGGAGAGGAGATGAGAGTATGTTACACCACATACATTCACCTAAGTTGCTATAAAAACACTCCGTCTCATTACCAAAGCCTCGGGTGTCCACTCTGGGACCCAGAGTTGTTATATCTATGACATTTTCGGGGAAGGGGTGTCAGGAAAAATGAGTTCTGAGGACCCATTAGGATCATGAGGCGGTAACTCTGAGGTTAAAGAAAATACTTATTTCTTGCAGAACATAAGGCCCCACGCTGGACATTTATTTCATAGGGACATTTGTTGAGGGTGGGGGTGGTGGAAGAAAAATTTAGTACTTTTCCTAATAGTGTATTGAAAGGAATTCTGATGAAGTTTTGAGAAGGAAAGAGGGCTGTCTGGTTCCTGACCGTAGAGGAGAGACAGTGATTTTGCTTTTTGACACTAAGCGATACATCTGCTTCTATCCTTAGTGATTTGACGTAATTCAGATGCATTAGATGCAGGGTAATATTTGAATACATTTTGGGGGAAATAATAAGATGTCTTCCATATCAGCAAATGCAGTTATTATTTGCTATGACTTTCATCACTCCACCTGCTGGCTGGGACTTTGAACTTAAAATTCTGGGTAACATCATCTGTTCATTCATTTGGTAGCTACTTACTGAGCACCTGTCGTGAGTCAGCATAGGTGAGCAAAGCGAGCCCATTCTTGCTGCTCTCATGGAGCTCACATTCTACAGGATACATAAATAGTCATGGGAGGAACTGTTCCCTGGTTCGCTCACCCCAAGAAGATCTGGAGAAATCCCAGCACTCAGGCTTGTGGGCTCCGTGGCCCAAACAAGCCACTTCCTAGGATCCACATACCTCCAGATCCTGCCTCTTACAACTCATATGTCTTGCAGCCTCTAAGTCATAAGCCTCTCGGGCAGACTAAGTCTAAAGGGAGATTAAAGAGTAGAATCAGTGAGAAAGATGAGTGAGGTTTTGAGTGAAGGTTATGCTTATCAATTGATAAATGAATTAGAAGCCAGTGATCATGGTGGAACAGTGCAGTCGAATGTATTGTTCATTTGGGGAAGCTGAGTCACTGACAATAAGCCATGTAAAAGCAAGAGTTTCTGGATGTGAGACAGAAACCAAGAGTGTTATTTAGTGGCTTTCTAAGTCTTGGAAAGGGATCAGGGCTTTTGAGAAACAGTTGTGTGGGGATGTAAAAGGGCTGGCCCAGCCAGATCGCTGACCTGTCCTGCTGCAGATCTTCCCCAAGCCTGTGGGGGCAGCTCCCTCACATTCTGCTTTGCTGAATTCAAAAAAGGGATTCTTCCCTGTGTCGCTTTGACTTCACCCCAGTAAGTAGAGGCAGCGTTACAGTTGTGTAAAGTTTGAAGCCAGAAGTCCCAAGGTCTCACAAAGGGCAAGTTCACGTTCGGTGGGGCATAAAGTTTATGCAAATTTGGCAGTCCTCTTTGAGAAAAAATACACAATTGCAAGTACAAAATGAGGGACAGATCCCAGAAAGGTGCTGTACCAACAAGGGGGTCTCAGGCATATGATTTGTTTGACTTCCTGGCAAATCTGCCCAGAAGCTGAGTCTGACTTTGCCACTCACTGAGTGGAATGCCTCCTTCTCCTCTTGGGCCTGGGTTTCCTAGTCTAGAAAATGAGAGGTTGAAAAGCACCTTCAAGATGGAAATCCATCTTCCTGGACTAATGGCCGCCACATATGAAAGGGCTGTATATTACTGTGGTACTCTGCTGCCTCGGCTACATGTGATAGGCCTTTCTCCAACTTGCCAGGCGCCCTGGTTCTCAGAGCCTCCGGATAGGCTGTTCCCTCTGCCTGGAATACACCCTGCTCTTCCCTCCCTCACCCCTCCCACCTGTGTCAACGCTAAACTCACCTCTGCAGAGGCTCCTGAGGAGGCCCAGTCTTCCTGCTGTACTAATTCTTCCTCTTGGCCCCTAAGATTTTCCTCTGAAGCGGTTACCCCAGGTTGCATTTTCCCATTTGTGTGACTGTCAGGGGAATGCCCATCTCTCCCCACCCCTGGCTGTGAGTTCCAGGAGGGCAGAATACCGGTGTCTTCTGTGTCTGTAGCCTGTGCCACACCTGTTTTATAAAGGATGCTCAAAGCAGTCTTACTGAATGTGCAGAGCGGTCCCTGTGCTGCAGTGTCCCTTAAATACAGCTGTCAAGCTGCAGTTTTAAAGCAGATCCAGGCAGAAGGAAACCTGATTTGTGGGAGGCAGCTGGGTAGGTGGCCATTGTGGAACCAGCTCCTTGTGAAAAACATGTTGAAATGGAAAGGCACAGAGTGTGTCCTCTGTGACAACAATAGAACCTTGAGGTAGATGGTGTGTCTACAGAGGGGTTTGAGGTTTAATGTCAAATTCAAGATTAAGACTGTGGAACAGAACAATTGTCTTTCCTAACATTAAAAACAAAAACCAACAGAAACAAAAACAAAAGCAAAATCCCAGTATAAAAACCACCGTTCCAATGAGGGAAAGGCAGGCTTAAAGGGTTGGAGAGTTTCAATTTCACAATAACAAAGTTAAGTTTCCTGTGGAATTTCCGTAATAGTGATGTTTTGATCGCTATGGCACTTAAACATCGCCGAGGAAACTTTGCATCTGGGCTCTTGCTTAAGGGTCAGATAACCTGTGCCTGATCCTTTGCAAGAGATTTCACCTCTCTTTATCATGACCATTAGCCAAACGGGACAGAGTCACTGGGAAGGTATTACAGTTTGACTTGTACTTCTGTGGGGCAGGGTGGCCATTCTAAGCAAGGCCTGGTGCCAGGATCCCTTCAAAGTCTTCCCTGAGCTTTGGTTGCTACAGAAAAATAAATGCAATGTAGGAAATTTAAGTTTGTTGGTAAAGGTGAAACATATTATCATCTACTCCCAGAACTCCTTAGCTTTATGGAGAGCTCAGCGTTTGAATTCAAGCAGAGATAACTGAGTGAGGCAGAGAAGAGGACAGCTGAGGAAGTCAGTGGAATAATTGCAGACCTAACATAAGGAAACAAATTAAATGAAGACATAAGCACTGCGCATGAAAGAAGAAACCCAGAGAGAATTTTGGGGAGAGAAAATGGGGCTTTGAAATCAATCAGAACTGGCTAACATCCCGCCTCCCCCACTACATAGTGGTGCAATTTGGGGGGAGATTTATTTTTAACTAATCTGAGCTTGATTTCTTCATGAATAAAAAGGGAAAATGCCAAAATATGCCTCATAGGATTGAGTGAAGGATTCGTGATGTATTGCATATCAGGGCCTGCCTTAGTAAGTGGAAGGTAATATTATTTTCATGGAGAGCAGGGTCACCAGACCACAACTCAAGACCAGTGTTAGCCAATAACTTTCTAAAATTTGCAAACTAGTAGTGTAAACTTGAAAATTGCTTACTCTCTAAAAATGAACTCCACTTGGTGAGAACAGAAGGTGAAATTCAAAGGACCAAATATTTGCTGATAGCTCAACTTAAGAATGTCAGGTTGAACAAAATGTACAAAAGCATAAAACAGGAAACGAATTCACAAAGGGGAGGGACCCAGGCAGGCCTTACGGGACTTAGTCAAGAGAGGACCTTTTGTAAATTGTCGTTCCTTGGTGCTGCATGACCATTTCTTTTTAAATACTAAGAACATTCTCAGTCACTCCCACTTATAACTGTCTAGTAAAACTAGTCATTTGTCACTTCCAGTGCCCTGCCCAGCCCTACAGAAAATACATGATCATTTAAGGGTGAAGAAGCCAAAGCTGGGAGAGTTTTAGTCACATATCTAGGGAAAAGCATGAAGATTTCAAAGCTCGGGGTCCTTCACAGAGTCACACAGCTCTCCTTGTCACTTAATCTCCAAGCTTTCCTCAGCCCACACTTGACCCTTAACAGGGGAGACAAAGGCAGACTCCAGCTGAGTCTTCAGGGTTAGCATGAGCAGCTCAGCGCAGCTGGTGGGTAGGGAGCTGTACAGCCCAGGGATTGTAGCCTCTTGTTTTGCATTCCCTGGAGTCATGCCTAAACTCATGGTCTCTTGAGGGGTCAAAGCAGGCCTGACTTTTAGTGTCTTCTTCAGGCCACACACACACACACAGGATTATACATGCAACTACCCAATCACACAGAGCTGGGCCGGGTAGAAAGTCTACCAAGTTCTGCGGGTCACGGTGAACCAGGCTTGTGAGCCCTCTTAGTCATATGTAAAGGGCTGTGTTTGAGACCAAGTAACCTTCAAAGCTCTTTTCTGCCCATGCCTTGGTTTTCCATATGTTAGTGGGGACAGATTGGAACTGCACAGACCTGGAGGCTTTTCAGGGTCAGTCTCAACTCTCTTAGATGCTAGAGGGTTATAGCCGGGGCTGGCATAGAACAGAAGCAAGAAATAGTTAAAACGAATATTTTGGACTGCATAGACTCAGAATGTGCTTTGCTTGGGCACCCAGAGCTTCTCAGACTTCTGTTGTTTTCATACCACCATCCCCTTCCTCCCCCTCCTCGTCATCACCAGCAGCAGCAGCAGCAGGGAGCACAGCTCTGAGGGGAACCAGGCACTGGGCCGTGGTGGTACCCAGGTTACCCCTGAAGTCCTCACGCCTCCCTGTGAGGTTGATAGATTGAAACTCCCTTATTTTGAGTATGAGGAAATAGAGGCACAGTGAGGTCCAAAGACCGCTCAAGAGCACACAGCCAGGAAGTTGAGTGCCAGGTTTCAAAACCAGGTCTCCCTGGGCAGGGCAGGGCGTGGCTGTGTCTGGACCACTCAGCTCTCCTTTGTCATAGTCGACAGCACTAGTTACTTGATAATGTCTTTTTAAAAATTAATTTACTTAAAAAAAGCTTGAGTGCTATTCTAGGCAATGTGACATCATAGATTTCTCAGGCTAGTTATATATTTTATGACGTTCATCAATGTACAATGATGTAAAAGTTGAATGATCATGTTCCGGCTAAGGCCATCTCATGTACCAACAGCGAGGTTAGACACAAATAGAAAAAAGGGATCTGGTCCAAGATTTGACACAGATTCACTGTCTGTGGGACGCCTTGCTAGGGTACTTGAGCATCTGTGTCACTAAATCTGGTGGCCAGGCACATTCTCAGTCACTCGAGAGCAAGCCTATCCTCTCCCAGAACATGTGGGCTTCTTGAAACCCTGTCCTTTTCAGGCACACACTGAGGTGGGGAGATGGACCTTGGAGTCAGACCACCTGGCTTTGAATTCCAGCTGTCTCATCTGAGCTGTATGGCCTCAGGCAAGTCATTTAAGCTTCTTGTACCTCAGATTCTCCAACTGCAAAACAGAGATGATAATAGGCAGAAGCCTCGCGGGGCTGTGAGAATCGAGTCTGTGATAGCACTGGGCACTGTGTCTGGAGGCGGTGAGCACCAAGCGACTCTAATCATTCCCATTTTACAAAGGAGGACAGAGAGACTAAGGAGATAAACTCTTTCTCATCTCTCGTTGTGTGTCAGTGCAGGGGCAGGACTAAAAGCTGGTCTGTGGTCTGCAAGCTTAAGGGATTACAGGGTCCCCAGGGACTCGTAGGAAATTCAGCTGGCGGCTACCTCCCACCATCCCCAGGTTCTGATTAGTAGGCCTGGGGGGGACCCAGGAATCTGCATTGCAACTACTTCCCAGGGGATTCTGATGCAGGTGGTATGAGGACCACTTGCTGAGAAGCTGCAAGCTGGGTTTGAGAGGTCCCTACCTCCTTCTTCCTTCCCCGAGTCCCACCCGCCCCCTTCTCTCCACTGGGCAACTATGTAAACAGCATTATTTCTACCCTTGCACGGGCAGAAAGGGGTCTGTGCTGCTGCCTCTGTTGGTGCCTCTTCAGGTCAGGGTGATAAGAAGAGAAAGAACAAAGAGGGGAAAAAGATCACAGCAGAGAGACAGAGTGCTCATTTTAAGGTGGAAATATGCCATTTCCTGACCACAGCGGGACTTCCCTAGGTTGTATTAAAAAATCCTGTACTGCCCATGTCTGGTACAGAAGCATGCATAGAATTTTAGAGAAAATGAACATTTTGGGATGATTTCAAAGTTACAGAACTACCAGTTTCACCACTTTAAAACTTTTGGGGAATGGCCATTTAGATATAGCCTGGTATAGTCAGGTAACACTAAATGGAGTTTTTAGAAGTTTCCACACCCTTCTTTGCTGGTGCCTGCACTGCATAATGCTGTTGCTTTGAGGAGGGACTTGTTCCAGATCTCTGGGGCGGGCCTAGTGACTCACCTAAAGTCACACAGCTTCCACAGACCATTACTGGAAGTTCAGTGAGGGCCTTCTGCCTCTGAAACTTGTTCTGTTTCCCTCTAGTCCTGCTTCCTTTTGTCGGTTTTATGACATTAGTTCCTGAGAAATCAACTGATCAGGAATGTTCTGAAAAGCTTAGTTTAGGAAAAAAAAAAAAGAAAGAAAAAAAAAAGACAAATAGGCAAAGCCATATTCCAAGGCGTTCACAGTCCTGGCTTGGGAGAAGAATGATCTCCCAAAAGGCCAGAAAACATGGTTGTCTGAAAGTGTCCAGGCTGGCCTCTGTGTGATTTCTGTGCAGGGCCAGGGTCTGTGGTGCCTTTAACTCTCTGGCGCTGAAGCTAACTGAGAGCTGGCTCTAATTGCACATTGACCTAAAGCAACGAGCGAGACCTGCACTGTCTCCTAGGTTACTCATTTGAGGGTAACCGGATGAGCAACCACAGGAGCATTAGCTGAGTAGGAGCTCACTCCATAAAAACCCTGACCCTGTGCATGAGGCAGATGGGGACTACTTAATACAGCATCACTGCACCGCCTTCCCCTCCCTCACTCAAGTTAGGTACAAGAGAAAGAGGAAATAACGTTAGGACCAATGATCGGGGGAACGTTTCAGGGCTGGGGGTTGGAAAAGCAGCCCACCAGCGCTTGATGTGGTTGCCTGGATCACAAATGGGGTATGACCGGGGGAATTCTCTTCACCAGGGGGTGGAGGGGTGGGGAGACCCCTCTCTCTATCTCTGTTCTAGAGGTGACCTCCCACCCACATAATGGAAAAAAATAAACTTATTTCATGACAATTTGCATTGAAAAGTTGAAGGCAAATGAGCAAATCTTGGAGGCTGTTTTCATGAGGTTCGCTCAAGCATGCTGCCCCTCTGCCCCAGGCTGAGAGGTGGCGACCTAAGATGGGTTCGGTGGGTGGGTGCGTCCCCAGCCTGCCTGGTCCCAGGGCCCTGTGGTGTCAGTTTTCTAGCGGTGGTTATGACCAGAGGAGGAGGCTGTGACCAAAGCCAGTTTGGAGAGGGTGAGAAAGAGCCCGGCATTGTCCCGACAGCAGCAGCAGCAGCTTAGCCGCCCTGCATGTTGCACACTGTTCTGAGTGTGGCACGGGAGGTAGAGGGCTGCTGTCTGCAGGGCCCTGAGGGCACATGCTCTGTTCCACCTTGTAATCTGGTTCCACCTCCTCGGTCCTGGGGAATATTCTTTTTGTTTATCCCTCTTCCTTTCGGCTTGGGAAGGGGAGTTGCTTCACCAGATAAATAAGAGCCACTAGTATTGTTCTACATCTGACTTGAAAGGGGTGTGGGGTGGCTGGGTCTTGGCATGCCGGCTTGGGGGCATCTGAGGCCATTAGACCACACGAGCTGGGCCTGTCCATTTTGGAAGCGATGAGAAGGTTCCTTTGTGAGTGAGCCACAGAAGTCATGAAATGCGTAGTACCTGGAGGCAGCGCAGGAACCTGGCACAGTCCACTCCCCTGTCAAGCTGGGCAGACAGGGCAGCCATCTGTGCCAGTGAACTCCTCCCAGTGCAGTGCTGCAGGGGCTGCTGGGAACCATGTGTGGTCACCCCTGCTAGGAGATGGGACACCAGACCCCAAATGCTACCATGTAAGGTGAGAAGTAGAAGTGTCCAAGGTGCCCCCCAGCCTTCCTAACCGTCCCTTTCCCAAGACCCCAGAAGATGAGAACTATGAACTAGGAATCAGAGGAAATAAAGGTCAGGCCATTAGAAGGGGCCAGCATAGCTGAGCCCAGAGCATGGTGGATTTGATGTTCAGCCTTTGCCCATCGTTCACTGGTGTTCCCTCCCAGGCCTCTGACCAGTTGCTGAGGGACTCTTTGTAGCCTTGAGAATCTAGCCAAACCTGACATCTCTCCAAAAAGCTGACTTTTGCCATCACTGATTGACCTGCAATATTAGGCTCTTCCCCTGAGAATGCCTGTTACCTTGCAGTCCCACCAATGGGACATAGGATTCCTTTGTTTTCAGGAAGATGTCATGACAGTGCCTAGCTTAGAAAAGTAACACAGATCCAGCTCTTGCGGGGCTAACTATATGGATGATATTATATTATGGGCTGCCAGAGTTTGGTAAACAGGAGTCTAGATTTCAGAATCAGATGAGCCTGAATTGGATATTTATCAGCAAATGCCCAATGATGTGGATCCCATTCCCTTTGTGAGGCTCAGTTTCCCTACCTGGAAAATAAAGGGATTAAACCAGCTGATCTTGGAGATCCATCTCAAAATGCCAAAGATTTGACATCCTTCAGGTGTGCCAAGCATCCAATCCTTTTCATCTTTTAATTATGAAATATTTGAACCACAAACAAAACTAGAGAGACGGATATAATGAGCCCTTCAGTACCCGTTGCCCCATTTAAGTAGTTATCAGCATCCACCAATGCCCAGTCTTTACCACAGGCTCTTGTAGCACAGACTTAAGCATCTCACCAAAGAAGCCAGACTTACCCTCTGGGTTGGGCAGGGGCCTCTCGGCAGGTGCAGGGGCGGATTTCATGCTGTTTCCCATTTCTTTCTTTTTCCCTGGGGCCGCTGGTGATGCCCAGAGCCTACGGTATAGGAGACAGACGGGGAAAGTCAACCGTGCCCTGAGCCCTCCAAGTGGAGAATGACCCAGTTTAGAGAGCATCATGCATCATTTTTCTGGCAGCTTGCTTCTTGAAAGGCGGCTGTTTATATGTGAAGATGAGATTGGTGAAGATTGGTTACTTTTGCGCAGTTCAAGTTCTTTTATCAAGGGAATGACAGAAAAACCACAGAAAGGGAAGTTGCTAGCAAATGCTGTTGGTGGCAAAAGTTTCCATTCCTTCGCACCCTCGCTGAGGATGGTAAGCAGCCACAGCAGGGTTTGTGTGAGAAACCAAGCAGCATTTCAGGTGGCCCAGAAAGTATCTCCACTCAGGGGCCCTCACCATCAACTCTGTGCACCAGGAATTCAGAGTACAGAGCTGTGTGTCTGTACAACCAAAGGCATGAGGACAAGGTACTTTCTGCTGCTACTTTTTGTCATCCGTTTGAGTTTGTCAGCATGCTTTAACAAAGGATGAAAGGGGAAAACTTCCTAACAATTCTGCGTACCGGCTGCATGCTGCTGAAGCCCTTTCACATCGACTGTTACGTTTGATCATTGTAAAGTCCTTGCATCATGCTTAAGCCTATTGTGCAGTGAGGGAAACTGAGTCTCAGAGGGGGTAAGTGACTCGTGTGAGGTCACATGGCAAGTAATTGTAGAGCTGAGACTTGAACCACTGATGCTAAATCTCTGGGTTGCTCCATAACAGTTTCCAAGGTAACCACCCAGGCTTAAATTCTCGCTGTGTACTTGTAAGCTAGATGACTACGGGCAAGTCATTAACCTTTTCTGTTTTTGTTTTTTTGAAACGCAGTCTCACTCTGTCGCCTAGGCTGGAGTGCAATGGCATGATCTTGGCTGATGCAACCCTGCCTCCCGGGTTCAAGCGAATCTCCTGCCTCAGCCTCCCAAGTAGCTGGGATTACAAGCACACGCACCACACCCAGCTAATTTTTGTATTTTTAGTAGAGACAGGGTTTCACCATGTTGCCAGGCTGATCTTGAATTCCTGACCTCAGGTGATCTACCTGCCTTGACCTCCCAATGTGGTGGGATTACAGGCGTGAGCCTCTGTGCCTGGCCAAGTCATTAACCTTTTTCTAATCATTTGGGAAGACATTAATCGAACGAACAGTGTTGGGTTGTGGTTACAAAATTAACTGAGATAAAGCATGGGAACCACTTTGAACATGGCCTGGCATAGAGTACATGTTAGTTATTACTCTGTTTACTGATTGTCCTTAATGATAAAAGTTCCAAGTCTAGACCTTCATACAAATATTTTGGAAAGAGACATAGATTATCAGAGAATAGGGTTTTAGGGAAGCCACATTCCCTCTGGATGGTAGAAGCACAGAGAGGAAGCCCACATCCATAAACAGAGCTCTCTCTGCTTTGTGGGGTCAAAGAGAAGAGATGGAACAGGGTCGCCCCGTCGGCCTCTAGCCCAAATGGAAACTAATCTCCCACCTACCTGTGTCTGCAGCTCAGGATCGAACCTTATGAAGGGCACAAAAGTCAGCCCGTCCAACTCCCACCCTGGCCTTGAATCCTGTCTCCATGCCCTATGTGTACAGGTTCTGGAAAGAAGTACACTCTCAGATGAAGGCCCTGCCCAGGCTGAGGGAGGTCTGCACAGCTCCCTGATTTAAGGGAAGGGGCGGTGTGAGCTGAGACTCCTACTATATTAAGAAACAAGGAACACCAAAATGAGAGTTGTTTAAAAGTCCATGTATCTTAGACATTTACATGAATAACTTGTCACTTACTACTCAAGCTAATGCTTAGTGATATTCCCAAGACAATGACAAGGCCTGCAAAAGCTATAAACTCATAGTGCACCACAGAAGGGTTGGCTAGAACGGGCAGCATGTTTAAAGTGAAGTGCAAATCCCATCCTTTTTGGATCCTATTGATCTTTGTGACTAGAAAAGAGGATGCCCTTGCAAATTTAAGGCTCGGGCCCTTCTTTCTCCACTCTTGCCCCTACCATCCTCACAAACCAGAAAAACATCCACACTTAAAATCCCAGGGCCTCTACCTTGTAGGAACCTTCTAGCAGCTGGGCAGGTTCTAACAGCAACACCTGGAGTCCAGGAGGGCAGGGATACATTGACCGTGTCTCCATCCCTGAGCCTGGCGAAGGTACCCAGGAAATGTGCTTCCCCAAAATGCTTACAGAAATACAACAGGTGGTGTGACTCCAACCCACATTCCCCGCAGTTCAGCAGACACTTCCTGGGCATCTACCCGGTGCTGGGCCCTGGGCCAGAGACTTGAGGAAGTCAGGATCCCACCCACATAGTGGGAGTGTGCTGCCTCCGAGGCCCAAGTCAGGCAAGAGGGAAGAGGCAAACCAGGCAGCCTCCCTGGCCCTGAGGGGATTGTAGCCACACAGGCTGCCCCGCACAGGCCTCGGGAAGCATGCGTGTGACATGCAGAGGCTGTCCTACACAGGCCTCGGGAAGCATGCATGTGACGTGCAGAGGCTGTCCTACACAGGCCTCGGGAAGCACATGTGTGACATTCACAGGCTGCTTTGCACAGGCCTCAGGAAGTATGCATGTGACACACACAGGCTGTCCCACACAGACCTCATGAAGCACATGTGACATGCACAGGCTGTCCCGCACAGGCCTCAGAAGCATGCGTGTGACATGCACAGGCTGCTCCGCACAGGCCTTGGGAAACACACGTGTGACACGCACTGGCTGTCCCGCACAGGCTGTCCTGCACATGCCTGCCTCTGTACTGCTCCTTGGGCCTCCTGGAACCTGCCTGCTGCCTTGGTTCCTCAGACTCTTTGTTTATCATCACCGAGGCCTTCGGGCTTCTGGGGAAAGTTCTCAACATGCAGAACTAACTCTGAAACCACATGTATGCTGGCCTCGCCGATTTGCCACCATCTCCGGTGTCCCCAGACACAGCAAACTGTCCCAACAATGCCTTTCTGTCCTTTCAGCCTGACTCATCGAGTGTCATTCAACACCTAGTGATTGTGCCCAGAAACCCTGCCCCCATAGGTTCCACCCCTCCAGATGCCAGGGTGCCCCCAGCCTGGCCAGCCTTCCCTCCCCTCTGTCCCCTCCCCCAAGCTGCTTCTAAACAACAGGCTCCCACCACAATGTCTGATCTCTCCCCTCCTTTCTGTCAACCATTCCAGAAAACAAGTCAGAACAAGACTTTGCTATCCATCAAAGAGAATTCCAACATCCTCTCTCTTCCCAACAGCTCTATCATTCTTCTCAAGCATTTGTGTGCTATTTTGGAGGGATTCCTGGAATCCACTACAGGAAAAAAAAAAAAAAATTAAACTTGCATTTTTGAGATTGGAGAAATGAAGTTCATCCAGGAAAAGAAACGTACCCAGGGTCACAAGATGAGAAAGTTTGAGTCAGTCCTGGAGGCCTGGGTTCTTCTACCTTAACACTCTTCTCTCCTGTTGCTTGCACTCCCTCCTGTTCTGTCTTGCCAGTCAGAGTTCACTCTCCATGAGAGAAGGGGCTGTGTCAGGGCTATATGACTACCAAAAAAACCATCAGGTCTCAACAGCCCTTTAGTGGTCTGCTCAGTGGCTTTCTACAGTCTTCAAGAAGGAGTTAACTTATCTGAAAGAGGCTTTTATTTGAGAAGAGTGAAAATGCCCCCAGAGAATGAGAGCTGGAGTCTCTCTAATGAAATGGCTGAACAATTTGATTTAATCCGTGACAGTTTTATGCAGTGGCGGAAGGTGGGAGAGAGGGTACCGGAGACATAATTGCTTCTAAGAACAATAGAAAAGGGCAAAAGAGAAATGAGTTAATTAACACTGGCTCTACAAATTCTTGATTTCTTTCTCCCTTTCCTTGGTGGTATAACTCTTAGGTTTCTGGGTCATAGAATCATAACTGCTATTACCTTATTTTCCCTTCGGTCTTTGGACCAATGCTATTTCCTTTGTGTGAACTTGGACCTTGGTTTCCTCTTCTGAAAAATGAGATGAGTGAAAAAAGATGATCTCCAAAGAGCGAGCCTTATAACCCCATTTAATTGTAGCAATCAAGACTCAATGGTTTTTAAAAATTATTAATAAAACAACCATTGGCATTTTTCAAATGAAGTCCCATTAGACAGAACCCCAACTCTTGTCTTTATGTGCTTCAGAATCAATGGAAGACAGTTAATGTGTACAACCACCTTCTGGGAGGCAATTTGCAGATATCGTTGTGTTTAATCTTACAAGCATTCGCGAGGGCAGATAATCTTTTACTTTGTTAGTGTGAGAACGGGGTTTAGTCACCTGCCCACTGCCCTGGAGCTGGAAACCTTACATCTCCTGACTTCAGGACCTACACCTTTTGCTCAGGACCATGCCACTGTCTCTCCAGTGTAAGGAACTCTGGTCAGTGTGCGGCTGGCTGCCATTTGAACAGAAGCATGGCATGGAGAGGTCACATACTGGCATGGCATTGCCATCGACAATGTGGGATATGCCGGCCAGCAGCATATCCTCTTAATAGGTTTTTGTTTTGCAGATCTGGGTCCTTTCATTGTGTGCTCTGTATTGTCTTATAGATCCAGGTGGGGAGGCTTCTCAGAACCTTCCATTGCTGGGACAGCGTCCCAGGACAGTTCTGTGTACCTGGTCCATCTTGTGCTTCTGATGCCTGGCCTTGCTGCTGGGAAGGAGGGTAGCCTGAACCCCTTTATTTCTCTCCCAAAGGGGAGAGAAATTGAGGAAGTCCAACCAAGGGAAGGCAGGTCATAAAGCCAGGAACTCAACCCTTGGTGACAGAATTAATTTGAAAATGTACTTAGGGATGCTACCTTCCCTTTGGCCTTAGAAATTTCTGCCGCAAAGTGTGACAGCTATAAGCCCATTCATATGACCTTCCTCTAAGGCATGGGAACACAGTACAGCAAGTGGAGAAGCCTCACTGTCTACCATATATGGGAATGCCAACAACAGTGATAACCAGAACACCCCCATCCCACAAT